GCAAAGGTAAGAAACAGGTATGAAACTCACTGGTCCTTCAATGGGATGGTTTCTGTGCTCTTCCTTGGGTGGTATAATAACATGATACTCCATTACCATCTCTATTGGTTCTCCCTCTTTAATGGCAGACTTGATCACAGCAGCTGTCTTTTGCTTCAAATAAGGGGATGATCCATGTTCAACCTGTTAGGATAGATATTTCCATTTAAAACAAATTGGATGTTGGATGCTGATTTCAGCCTTATATTAGATTACAAGCAATATTCAGAAACAAAATATTTACCTTTCACTTTGGTTAGAGTTAAGGTCTATATGCAAATTAATATATATTTTCATATGGAAGAATTTGGTTCAATATAAGTATATTCCTTATTCTAAAATATTAATCTAATTCACAAAGAAATGCAAAAGATAGGTAGAGAAACCTTACCTCAAATTCAGGAAATTTCAAAATCTGTATTGCTGTGAACTGGAATGGACAGGACAGTTTCTTTGAGTCTTGGTACAGACGTCTTTTCTTGGTAACTGCCTGGCCTTCCTCCTAATTAGATAAGTAAGATTGAAAGAAATGGTGACATAAATAGAGTAAATAAATTACATTGTTCAGATCCAACACAATCATAAATCTTTATACCATATAAGTTCAGTATCAAAAAGAAAATGGAAAAAAAAATTCATTGTCTGGGAAAAAAGGGAGAGTTATATACTTATTCTACAGGTTAATTACAATCACATGATAAACTACAAAGTTCTGGTAAAACACTTACTTCAGCTTTCCTCTTCTGCTCTTTGTATCTTTCTTTCGCTTTGACCTGTTTGTCACGACCCTGATGGCAGCCATACCTTTTTCTCCCAATGCGGATGTGAGGTACATTGTCCCCCAACCATGAAATATGCCCAATTGGCTGGCCAGGACCTGGTCGGTAATCTGAAATCAAATTTAGAATTAATTTTTATGGTCTATTTCTGACTATTCTGATGAAGTTAATCCTCATGAGTAATGTCTGTAAAAACATTATATCTTAGTATCTAGTCAGAAGTAAATACATTCTCCCATGTGTATTAGTAATATCTTATGAAGGAGTGTGTTAATATCATGCACACCTGCCTTACATCTGTCCAACTTTTTCCTGAAACATACTTTTACATGCAGTCTGCAGTTTCACATGCACACATGGCGTTTAAATCTCATTGATAAAAACATGAACTATTTCTAAGTCTGATCCTAAGTCTAATATACGTAACACATGAATCAAATTAAGCGAAAAAAGTAATCATTTAGAGATTTGTTTGTAGTTACAGATTTTCTTCCTACAAAAACTACCTAAACTCAAATTTTGTCTCCTTTATATAGGTAAGTCAACTCCTTTTTTTTTACTACCACTATCTTAACTAATTTACATCATCTTCATTCCATCTTTCGACACGCAACAAATACAGAAGGTCTGCACCACATACGGTCATTTCCAAACGTCTTGTCCTTATTATATACAATGAATTTCGATAACGTCGCTTCCTCTTGAGCTTTTATATAGTTATTCAATTCCTCAATGGATGACAGCACTTCAAAATTGCACCCAGACTGCCTAGCTGACGTCTCATTCTCTAGGAGTTCCACCTTGACAACCTCCTCCATCGTTGTTATTGTTTGGATGTCGCGGGGCCGTTCGCGAGCGGGGATTCTGCATGCGCATTCACGGCCCGCGTTCGTGGACAAATCGTGCCGGGGATTGGGTTTTAAAAAAAAGGGTAAAAAATTATATTTCTTTGTGTTGTTTATTTTGTGTTTTGGTTATAGATATGTTCTGAAATTTAAAGGTGATTGTAAACATACTCGCGCACTTCGCACATACACACAAATGGAAACATACACACACACACACACACACACACACACACACACACACACACACACACACACACACACACACACACACACACACACACACACACACACACACACACACACACACACACACACACACACACACACACACACACACACCCGCTCGCTCGCTCGCTCGCTCGCTCACTCACTCACTCACTCACACAAACCCACTCACTCACCCACTCACTCACTCACTCATTCACTCACACACAAAAGAATAAACAAATATATATGTGTGTGTGTGTGTGTATATGTATATATGCATGTTTGTATGTATGTATCTACATATGTATGTATGTGATGATAAGATATCTGGCAATGAGTAAGAGTTTAGCTTCTGACATATCACCTACTTCACATCACATCATATATTTCGCACATCACGTAATATGAAACACTGCGAGTACCACATGGTCCGTATCAGTCATAAGGACTGACCTGTCCAAAACGTGTTTATGGGGTCGTGCCATAGGAAGGGATGCCGGGTCTTTGTATGGTCATTGCTGGGAGGTAATGAGATCGCTGTGTTACAATATAAATGATGCACAAAATATATGATACACGAAATATGTGATATACCAGCTACTGATGTGAAGTATGTGAAACACCGGCGGCTACAAAGAGAAATGTTGTTATTAGTTTGAGCGATCGTGCTGAAAATTGAGTCAGAAGTGAGCTGTGTGATAAGATAACATCTGTGAATGTATAAAAATGATGGGTCTTACCTTTTTTTTTTTTAACTGCCACACCTCTAGGAATGTCTTTTTTTTCCACACCCCCACCCCTTGCATCTATAAATAAACTTCCCAACATCTAAAAAAATAAAAATAAAATAAAAAATATGTTTATTGAGTATGAATTTGCCACATTGTTATCAAACTTCTCTTTATTTGACCTTGTTCTTGTTAATTAAACTCTTGTTAATTAAAATCTACTGGTATAAAATGCATACTACAACCAGAATGATGATGATGATGATGATGATGATGATGATGATGATGGTGGTGGCGGTAATGATGATGAAGGTGATGGCGGTGATGATAATGATGGTGGTGATGATGGTGATAATGATTATAATGAAGAGGAAGATGATGGTGATTAAGATGAATATGATGATGATAATGATAGTAATGATGATGAAGATGATGCTAATGATGACAACGATTTGTATGAATATATATATATATATATATATATATATATATATATATATATATATATATATATATATGTATGACGATGATGATGTATGTTTGTATGTATATATTTGCATGTATGCATGTATGTATATATATATATATATATATATATATATATATATATATATATATATATATGTATATATATATATATATATATATATATATATATATATATATATATATATATATGATTTATACACATGTATATATTCATGCATGCATACATATGTATATATTTATGTATGTATATACATATATATACATATATATACATACATATATATATATATATATATATATATATATATATATACGCACACACACACACACACACACACACACACACACACACATATATATATGTGTGTGTGTGTGTGTGTTTGTGTGTGTGTGTGTGTGTGTGTGTGTGTGTGTGTGTGTGTGTGTGTGTGCGTGTGTGTGTGTGTGTGTGTGTTTTGGGATATTAAACCTCACATTCCTAATAATTGCACACATCCGATCACCTAGTAACAGTCTCCACTGAAATGACAGGAAGTCATGGGCAAGACTTTGACTACGCCTTTACCTCCTCCTCAGGGGCGTCATCTGGAGGGCTTTGGGGTAATTGCCCCCCTCAAGACTCTGTGCCTCCCTCAATGTCTGCTCCCCCCCCCGGCAGACTCCCGACCGTACTAATAAACTTTTAAAACTAAAATACACCTTTAAAGGTCCAATTACAGCTTTAAAACGCCCCTAGAATAGCTATTTTTTTCTCGTCTTTTCTCTTCACTCTCCTACCCTTCCTTGCCCCCCTAAGAAAAAGCTGAAATGACGCCCCTACTCCCCACCCTCCCTTTTTTGCCTTGGCTATGATAGGAGAGAGAATATCGTAGAGGGTCGAATAAATGTAAAAGCCGATAATAGGAAAATGTAATACTAATAGGGTGACAATTAAAAAAAAAAGGAGGAAGGATAACTTAAATAAATGATGAATAAATATTTCACAAACATAAAAAATACAACAGTACAAAACGCATTGAAAATCCATCACAAAACCGCTGAAAGCACATAAACTAGACAAACATTTCAACCTCTAACAAAAAACATCGCATTACAACACAAAAATAATTTAGACAATTATAGCCAAAAAAAAAAAAAAAAAAAAAAAAAAAAAAAAAAAATCAAGCGTAAAAGCTGCGAAAATATAGCGAAAATCGCTCGCTTCTCCTCACACATTGGACAATTATAGCAGAAAAACAACAACAAAATAATCTAGGGGGAAAATCGCATTTTAACACAATGAAACTATTTAGACAATTATACCAGAAAAAATCTGGCGAAAAAAACACATCGCATTACAACACAAAAATAATTTAGACAATATGAAAAAAGAAGAGAGAGAGAAAAAACAAACAAACAAACAAACTAGCGGATATAAAAAAAATCGCATTATAACACAATAAAACTATTTAGACAATTATATCAGAAAAAAAAATCTAGCGAAAAAAAACATCGCTTTACAAAACGAGAATAATTTAGACAATAGCAAAAAAGAAAAGAAAAAAAAAGAAAATCACAATATAACACAAAAATACAATTTAGACAACTAAATCAGAAAAAAAATCTAGCGAAAAAAACCCTCATCGGATTACAACACAAAAAAATAATATAGACAATAACCAAATAAATAAACAAATCCATAAATAAATAAAATAAAAAAAACATAATATAGCGTAGCCAATAAATAAACAAATCCATAAATAAACAAAATAAAAATAAAAAAAAACATAATATAGCGAAATAAAAAAGCGAAAAGATAGCAAAAAACTTAGCGAAAATTTAGCGAAAAAAATAGCGAAAACAGCGAAAACCGCTCGATTCCCCCGCACACATAAAGACACCCAAAAGATAACCTCAAATCCACTTTATCTCCGAGATAAGATTAGAAGAGAAACTACCGCTCCCTCTCAGCCTCTAACCCATTCTCCCCCGAACAAGACGACCAAGATGGGCAAGAAGAGACAGCAAAACGACTTCTTTTTCTTCATGATGGAGAAGAAAAGCGAAGTGGAGAGGAAAGTCGGCCGAGTCGTGACGATGATGGAGTTGCCTGGCCTTCTGTACCCCGATTGGAAGGTGTGGGTTTTTTGGTGTATTTTTTACGATTTAAGTTTTATTTTTGGGGAGGGTTTTTTGGGGGGTTTATGTTGTGGGGTTTTGATGTTGGTCTTTGGGTGGCTAATAATGGTAATAGGAGAGGTGAAGGTTTTTGTATTTTGCAGTGATACTGGTTTACGGTTCGTTTTCTTTGTGATTAATTTTTATTCTGTTTTAAAGTCGGTTTGATATGGATTTAAAATGTGTTTTTTTTTCATTGATTGTCTCCTCGATCAACGTCTGCAAGGGATTGATTGATATTTGCATACGAGTCTGTTGCTTTTATGTTGCACGGGGAGAATGATTATGAATTGTCTTGGTAAAGTGAAATGAAATTGCATAAACGAAAATGTATTTTTTGCAGATAGCTGTTAGATTTTCAGTATTTGAGGAAATGTGGATCCTATGGTCAGGGTTCTTGCTTTTCTTCAGCTTTTTTTTTTTTTTTATGTCATCTGTCAAATTTGATGTTCCTTTGCCTCACAAGCATGAGTTAGTATGACAACCCCTGCCACACTCATCAAGCTAAGAGGATATGTAAGATTTTTTTTTTTTTTAACCAAATTTCAAAAGTTCCTGAACAGAAATATGTAGGAGAGGATTTTCTGTTGTATACTCAACAAACTTCCATGTACTGCATGTGCTCTCTGGTGAAAAAAAAACAAAAAAACATAGTGTATATTGTGACAAGATAGGGTTAAGACTGTGCCCTTACTTTATGATAAATTTTGAAATTGGATCATATTTCTACATGTTTCATAACAACAACATATAGTCATCTGCAGTATTGGCAGAAAATTGTACAGAATTACTGATATGTAGTTGTCATAATTGCCTCATTGGTTGTTAGTCTATGTATGATGGATTGCTTTCTACCTAAAGATGGCATTGTTTTTTATATTAATGCATCAAGTTCTTTTTAATAATTTGGTATGAATGGAAGCAGCACTGTGAGAATAGTGTTTGATGTGAAATTACTTTCCTTGCTCTTAAAGTTGTTATGAAAATGTCATTGATGAAAAAATGTTATCTCATGTGTTATTAAAAGGTTGTGAGGTTCCGAGAGTCCAGTATTATATATATTTTTCATTTTACTTTTCTTTGTTTTTAGGAGAATGGAAGTGGGTAGAACTATGGTAGGTCTGTAAATTTGCTTTTTCAGTATCATATCAAAGAAATGACACTTTTTTTTTTTTGGGGGGGGACTTATTGTCTTGTTAGCCCATTAAATGTATAATGTATTTTGTATGAATGCTACAGGTTTCTTCTCTTTGTAACAACTACTTATTTTAAATAAAAGATAGATTTTGTAATGTATTTCTAATTATATATGTACAGCATTGTGATCAGTACTTTTCCAGATTAGGAGTAGAATGATATTTGATATGAACCATTTTTCCATTTCACTCATTTTTACACACCAGTATACTTGTTACTGTTTTCCAAATAGGCACTGCCAGAGGAAGAGAAACGCAAGTACAAGAACATGAGGGATGACAAGCGAGTTGACGGAAAACTTGATTGTAGAGGAATACCTTTGGCTGACATAAAACAAGAACAGGAGAAAAATAGGAGGAAAATTGAGGAGATGAAGAGCTACATTGCAAATAATGTTTCAGTGTTGCATTCAGGCAATGGTTAGTCTTTTTTACATCTTGTTTTTATATTTTTTATGATTTTTGTAGAATATGAAATGAAGCAAAATGGATGTAGACCTATAATAATGCTGTTTTTCATGGCTTAATGTTTAAGTGAATTGTAATACTTGTGGTTTTCATTCTGTGAAAAGATGATATAACTTTTTCAGAATATTTAGTTCAAGAAGAAATTTGATTACAAAATAAAATAATTCATGAATTTACTAATGAAAATCTGTAATTGAATGTAAGTAGATATGATACATTGAAAATACTTCATAATTTTCTCTTTAAGCTCTTCACTGTGGTAAGTTCTACATTGTCAGTACATCTTACTATGTGTTGACTGAGGAGGGCCACTATGCTCCTGCTGAGCTGGGAGTAGTCCAGTTCTCTTTGCAGAGGGGGATTATCAAGGAATTCCACATGATACTGAAACGTAAGTTCTCCTCCTCCAGGTTCCTCATCCACTTACTCCTCCAGGATCTTCCTCCTCCTCTTCCTCTTCTTCCTCTTCCTCTTCTTCCTCTTCTTCCTCTTCCTCTTCTTCCTCTTCTTCCTCTTCATCTTCCTCCTCTTCCTCTTCCTCCTCTTCATCTTCCTCCTCTTCCTCTTCCTCCTCTTCATCTTCCTCCTCTTCCTCTTCCTCCTCTTCATCTTCTTCCTCTTCCTCTTCCTCCTCTTCCTCTTCCTCCTCTTCCTCTTCCTCCTCTTCCTCTTCCTCCTCTTCATCTTCCTCCTCTTCATCTTCCTCCTCTTCATCTTCCTCCTCTTCATCTTCCTCCTCTTCCTCTTCCTCCTCTTCCTCTTCCTCCTCTTCATCTTCCTCCTCTTCCTCTTCCTCCTCTTCATCTTCCTCCTCTTCATCTTCCTCCTCTTCCTCTTCCTCCTCTTCCTCTTCCTCCTCTTCCTCTTCCTCCTCTTCCTCTTCCTCCTCTTCCTCTTCCTCCTCTTCCTCTTCCTCCTCTTCCTCTTCCTCCTCTTCATCTTCCTCCTCTTCATCTTCCTCCTCTTCCTCTTCCTCCTCTTCATCTTCCTCCTCTTCCTCCTCTTCATCTTCCTCCTCTTCCTCTTCCTCCTCTTCATCTTCCTCCTCTTCCTCTTCCTCCTCTTCCTCTTCCTCCCCTTCCTCTTCCTCCTCTTCATCTTCCTCCTCTTCATCTTCCTCCTCTTCCTCTTCCTCCTCTTCATCTTCCTCCTCTTCATCTTCCTCCTCTTCATCTTCCTCCTCTTCCTCCTCTTCCTCTTCCTCTTCCTCCTCTTCATCTTCCTCCTCTTCCTCCTCTTCCTCTTCCTCCTCTTCATCTTCCTCCTCTTCCTCCTCTTCCTCTTCCTCCTCTTCATCTTCCTCCTCTTCCTCCTCTTCCTCTTCCTCCTCTTCATCTTCCTCCTCTTCCTCTTCCTCCTCTTCCTCTTCCTCCTCTTCATCTTCCTCCTTTTCCTCCTCTTCCTCTTCCTCCTCTTCATCTTCCTCCTCTTCATCTTCCTCCTTTTCCTCCTCTTCCTCTTCCTCCTCTTCATCTTCCTCCTCTTCCTCCTCTTCATCTTCCTCCTTTTCCTCCTCTTCATCTTCCTCCTTTTCCTCCTCTTCCTCTTCCTCCTCTTCCTCTTCCTCCTCTTCCTCTTCCTCCTCTTCCTCTTCCTCCTCTTCCTCTTCCTCTTCCTCCTCTTCCTCTTCCTCCTCTTCCTCTTCCTCCTCTTCCTCTTCCTCCTCTTCATCTTCCTCCTCTTCTTCCTCTTCTCTTCATCTTCCTCCTCTTCATCTTCCTCCTCTTCATCTTCCTCCTCTTCATCTTCCTCCTCTTCATCTTCCTCCTCTTCATCTTCCTCCTCTTCCTCTTCCTCCTCTTCCTCCTCTTCCTCTTCCTCCTCTTCCTCTTCCTCCTCTTCCTCTTCCTCCTCTTCCTCTTCCTCCTCTTCATCTTCCTCCTCTTCATCTTCCTCCTCTTCATCTTCCTCCTCTTCATCTTCCTCCTCTTCATCTTCCTCCTCTTCCTCTTCCTCCTCTTCCTCTTCCTCCTCTTCCTCTTCCTCCTCTTCCTCCTCTTCCTCTTCCTCCTCTTCCTCTTCCTCCTCTTCCTCTTCCTCCTCTTCATCTTCCTCCTCTTCCTCTTCCTCCTATTCATCTTCCTCCTATTCATCTTCCTCCTCTTCATCTTCCTCCTATTCATCTTCCTCCTCTTCATCTTCCTCCTCTTCCTCTTCCTCCTCTTCATCTTCCTCCTCTTCATCTTCCTCCTCTTCCTCTTCCTCCTCTTCATCTTCCTCCTCTTCCTCCTCTTCATCTTCCTCCTCTTCATCTTCCTCCTCTTCATCTTCCTCCTCTTCCTCCTCTTCATCTTCCTCCTCTTCATCTTCCTCCTCTTCATCTTCCTCCTCTTCATCTTCCTCCTCTTCCTCCTCTTCATCTTCCTCCTCTTCATCTTCCTCCTCTTCATCTTCCTCCTCTTCATCTTCCTCCTCTTCCTCTTCCTCCTCTTCCTCTTCCTCCTCTTCCTCTTCCTCCTCTTCATCTTCCTCCTCTTCATCTTCCTCCTCTTCATCTTCCTCCTCTTCCTCCTCTTCCTCTTCCTCCTCTTCATCTTCCTCCTCTTAATCTTCCTCTTCATCTTCCTCCTCTTCCTCCTCTTCATCTTCCTCCTCTTCATCTTCCTCCTCTTCCTCTTCCTCCTCTTCATCTTCCTCTTCCTCTTCCTCCTCTTCATCTTCCTCCTCTTCATCTTCCTCCTCTTCCTCTTCCTCCTCTTCATCTTCCTCCTCTTCATCTTCCTCCTCTTCCTCCTCTTCATCTTCCTCCTCTTCATCTTCCTCCTCTTCCTCTTCCTCCTCTTCATCTTCCTCCTCTTCATCTTCCTCCTCTTCATCTTCCTCCTCTTCATCTTCCTCCTCTTCCTCTTCCTCCTCTTCATCTTCCTCCTCTTCCTCTTCCTCCTCTTCATCTTCCTCCTCTTCATCTTCCTCCTCTTCCTCCTCTTCCTCTTCCTCCTCTTCCTCTTCCTCCTCTTCATCTTCCTCCTCTTCATCTTCCTCCTCTTCATCTTCCTCCTCTTCATCTTCCTCCTCTTCATCTTCCTCCTCTTCCTCCTCTTCCTCTTCCTCCTCTTCATCTTCCTCCTCTTCATCTTCCTCCTCTTCATCTTCCTCCTCTTCATCTTCCTCCTCTTCATCTTCCTCCTCTTCATCTTCCTCCTCTTCATCTTCCTCTTCATCTTCCTCTTCATCTTCCTCCTCTTCATCTTCCTCCTCTTCATCTTCCTCCTCTTCATCTTCCTCCTCTTCATCTTCCTCCTCTTCATCTTCCTCCTCTTCATCTTCCTCCTCTTCATCTTCCTCCTCTTCATCTTCCTCCTCTTCATCTTCCTCCTCTTCATCTTCCTCCTCTTCATCTTCCTCCTCTTCATCTTCCTCCTCTTCCTCCTCTTCATCTTCCTCCTCTTCCTCCTCTTCATCTTCCTCCTCTTCCTCCTCTTCCTCTTCCTCCTCTTCATCTTCCTCCTCTTCATCTTCCTCCTCTTCATCTTCCTCCTCTTCATCTTCCTCCTCTTCATCTTCCTCCTCTTCATCTTCCTCCTCTTCATCTTCCTCATCTTCCTCCTCTTCATCTTCCTCCTCTTCCTCCTCTTCATCTTCCTCCTCTTCATCTTCCTCCTCTTCCTCCTCTTCATCTTCCTCCTCTTCATCTTCCTCCTCTTCCTCCTCTTCATCTTCCTCCTCTTCCTCCTCTTCATCTTCCTCCTCTTCATCTTCCTCCTCTTCATCTTCCTCCTCTTCATCTTCCTCCTCTTCATCTTCCTCCTCTTCATCTTCCTCCTCTTCTTCCTCTTTCTCTTCTTCCTCTTTCTCTTCTTCCTCTTTCTCTTCTTCCTCTTTCTCTTCTTCCTCTTTCTCTTCTTCCTCCTCTTCCTCCTCTTCCTCTTTTCTTCCTCCTCTTCCTCTTTTCTTCCTCTTCCTCTTTTCTTCCTCTTCCTCCTCTTCCTCTTTTCTTCCTCTTCCTCTTCCTCCTCTTCATCTTCCTCCTCTTCATCTTCCTCCTCTTCATCTTCCTCCTCTTCATCTTCCTCCTCTTCATCTTCCTCATCTTCCTCCTCTTCATCTTCCTCCTCTTCATCTTCCTCCTCTTCATCTTCCTCCTCTTCATCTTCCTCCTCTTCATCTTCCTCCTCTTCATCTTCCTCCTCTTCATCTTCCTCACTCTTCTCTTCCTCCTCTTCATCTTCCTCCTCTTCATCTTCCTCATCTTCCTCCTCTTCATCTTCCTCCTCTTCCTCCTCTTCATCTTCCTCCTCTTCATCTTCCTCCTCTTCCTCCTCTCATCTTCCTCCTCTTCATCTTCCTCTCTTCCCTCCTCTTCATCTTCCTCCTCTTCATCTTCCTCCTCTTCCTCCTCTTCATCTTCCTCCTCTTCCTCCTCTTCATCTTCCTCCTCTTCCTCCTCTTCATCTTCCTCCTCTTCATCTTCCTCCTCTTCATCTTCCTCCTCTTCATCTTCCTCCTCTTCATCTTCCTCCTCTTCATCTTCTTCCTCTTCATCTTCCTCCTCTTCATCTTCCTCCTCTTCATCTTCCTCCTCTTCATCTTCCTCCTCTTCTTCCTCTTTCTCTTCTTCCTCTTTCTCTTCTTCCTCTTTCTCTTCTTCCTCCTCTTCGTCTTCCTCCTCTTCCTCCTCTTCCTCTTTTCTTCCTCTTCCTCCTCTTCCTCCTCTTCCTCTTTTCTTCCTCCTCTTCCTCTTCCTCTTTTCTTCTTCCTCTTCCTCTTCCTCTTTTCTTCTTCCTCTTCCTCTTTTCTTCCTCCTCTTCCTCTTCCTCTTTTCTTCCTCCTCTTCCTCTTCCTCTTTTCTTCCTCCTCTTCCTCTTTTCTTCCTCCTCTTCCTCTTCCTCTTTTCTTCTTCCTCTTCCTCTTCCTCTTTTCTTCTTCCTCTTCCTCTTCCTCTTTTCTTCTTCCTCTTCCTCTTCCTCTTTTCTTCCTCCTCTTCCTCTTCCTCTTTTCTTCCTCCTCTTCCTCTTCCTCTTTTCTTCCTCCTCTTCCTCTTCCTCTTTTCTTCTTCCTCTTCCTCTTCCTCTTTTCTCTCTCCTCTTCCTCTTCTCTTTTCATCCTCCTCCTCCTCCTCCTTTCTCTTTTTCATCCTCCTCCTCTTCCTCCTTTCTCTTTTTCATCCTCCTCCTCTTCCTCCTTTCTCTTTTTCATCCTCCTCCTCTTCCTCCTTTCTCTTTTTCATCCTCCTCCTCTTCCTCCTTTCTCTTTTTCATCCTCCTCCTCTTCCTCCTTTCTCTTTTTCATCCTCCTCCTCTTCCTCCTTTCTCTTTTTCATCCTCCTCCTCTTCCTCCTTTCTCTTTTTCATCCTCCTCCTCTTCCTCCTTTCTCTTTTCATCCTCCTCCTCTTCCTCCTTTCTCTTTTTCATCCTCCTCCTCTTCCTCCTTTCTCTTTTTCATCCTCCTCCTCTTCCTCCTTTCTCTTTTTCATCCTCCTCCTCTTCCTCCTTTCTCTTTTTCATCCTCCTCCTCTTCCTCCTTTCTCTTTTTCATCCTCCTCCTCTTCCTCCTTTCTCTTTTTCATCTCCTCCTCCTTCCTCCTTTCTCTTTTTCATCTCCTCCTCCTCCTCCTTTCTCTTTTTCATCTTCCTCCTCCTCCTCCTTTCTCTTTTTCATCCTCCTCCTCTCCTCCTTTCTCTTTTTCATCTTCCTCCTCCTCCTCCTTTCTCTTTTTCATCCTCCTCCTCCTCCTCCTTTCTCTTTTTCATCTTCCTCCTCCTCCTCCTTTCTCTTTTTCATCTTCCTCCTCCTCCTCCTTTCTCTTTTTCATCTTCCTCCTCCTCCTCCTTTCTCTTTTTCATCCTCCTCCTCCTCCTCCTTTCTCTTTTTCATCCTCCTCCTCTTCCTCCTTTCTCTTTTTCATCCTCCTCCTCTTCCTCCTCCTCCTCCTTTCTCTTCCTTTTTTCACTATAAGACCACAAAATTTTGCAGAACAAAATCATCTAACATTAGCATTACCATTATCATCAATGTAATTAACAACACTTTTCATTATAACTACATTTATCATCATTATTACTAGAGTAACCATCATTATTATTACAATTATCATCATCATACATAGTGAAGAATGAAAATAACAAATAGCTATGTATAGTAATAGTAATCACAAGCTATTAAATTTTCCAGCGGTGATTCCCCTGTCCTACGGTTACATGGCCCAAGTTTACTCCGAGGCAAACCACATGCTCCTTGAGGAAGAGAACACAAGTAATGAGGAGAAGGAAGATGTGGCCGTGGCCCTCAAGCAGTTTGTACAGGAAGTGAGTTTTGGATTTGAGTGCCTGTTGTTTGTTTGTTTTTTTGTGAATTAGGCTTGTTTCCATTGTTATTGTAATTTTTATTGTTGTTTTTTGTTAGTGGCTTTCATGCCATTGCCATTGGTATTGCTGTTTTTACTCTTTATTTTATTATTGTTACTATTTTTGGTTTTTGCTTTTGCTGTTATACTGTGATAATAGTAATGATGTTAGTAATGATTGTGATATTATTAATTATAGTAATATTGATAATATTAGTAATAATAATAGAAGTGATAATGATATTAATGATAGTGAAAATGGTGATGATGAAAGCAAAGGTGATGATAACAATAATGAGAGTAATGATAGTGATCATACTGAAGGAAATTTCTTATAGAGGTTCCATGTAACATTTTGTTTAAGTGTTTTTGTTTTGAAATGTGATAAATATCTATGTTTTTAATACTGTCTCTTTATTTTTGGCAGGAGAATAATAGGCTGCCTCCGTTATACACTTTGGAAGAGGAAATGCCACAGACGGAGGCAATCCTTAGAGAAATATGTGGTAACTTAATACTAGTTTTACTTCAGGAATATGTATTCTGTTTTATTTATTTATTTTATTTTATTTTTTTTTGTAATATAATGATGCATATGCAGGGCTGGATTATCCTATAGGCTATAGCTTGGGGCTTGGTTATAAAAAATCTGTTTTTATTTTTTCACTATGGTTATGTTGAAATATAGTAAAATAGTGGTATTTAAAGAATGTTTTTATTGACAAATAAAAGATAGCTATGCTAGTTTATTTAAAAGATTTACAATAAGTTTACTTCAAGCTATGTAAATGTCGCTAAAATATATCACGAGTAAAAAATAATCTGAGGGGGCCCCATAATTTCATTAGCATAGGGGCCCCAAAAGGTAATAATCTTGCCCTGTGCATGTGGTATAATTATTCAGGTTATGTACATTGATATCCATTGCAGACTTAGTGTATTTTATTTTTATCATGTTTTTTTTTTTTCAAAGCATAAATATGATTGTGTATTATACTTGGATGAGATGGTATTTTCCACAGTTTGCAGGTCTTTCTAATATTGAAAAGAATAGTTTTCATCAATTAATTATGCATGAACTCATTTTTGGTTGAAGTGATAAGTACTTTATTATTGCAAAATGACAAGCATTAAGCTATTCATGCATTTAACCTTTATTTAATATGTCCTAAGGTGATTTTCCATCTTCCACAGAAAATAGAAATATTTCAAAGTAATCACCTGGTATATGATTTGATCTTTTTTTGTTTGTGTGAAAAAGTATACAACCATATTTTTACTTTTTGCTTCAGTACATTTCACAGCCTGATGCATGTTGTGTCCTAGTGTTTAACTTCTATCTTTTGTTTATCCTTATGCTATGAACAGGACCAGATTACTTCAGTGTGTATTCCCTAGACCAGCTGTTCCAGCATTTTTACTCTGTGACTTTTGTTGACAATCCCATACCCTTGAGCATTGCTACAGATATACTGACACACTGTAGCCTGGATTACCACCCATCCTTGCCATGTGGAGTAAGTTATGGATAAGTCATTTTAAAGTGTGTTGTATACTATGGGTTGATTTCTCACTACATAATTTGCTATTAATTAGCTATATTTAGCTTTTTTGTGGTATTTTGAGCTTTGTTTTAATTTTGTCTTCATTGGTTATTTGTTTTGATGACTATCTTACAATAACTTTTCTCATTTTCTGTTCTTATTATAGTGGCACCAGACATACCATAAGGATGCAGGTCGATACTGCTCTCTAGCTTGTGCAAAACGTTGGGTGTTTCACATCTGCGATAACATGAAACTGTTAGACACCTTTGGCATAAAGCCACAGGAGGGTAAACACCTACCCCAGCCCATCCCAGCTTTTGGGACTGTGGTAGATGTTCCCAGACACACCTTTAAGGTAATATTTAATGTATTTTAGTCTTGTTTCTTGGTGAGTTGTTAGGAAAATACAGTTAGTGACGTCTTAAAGTTGTAATTCTGATTTTATATTATTATTATTATTATTATTATTATTATTAATTAATTATTATTATTATTATTATTATTATTATTATTATTATTATTATTATTATTATTATTATTATTATTATTATTATTATTATTATTATTATTATTATTATTATTATTATTATTATTATTATTATTATTATTATTATTATTATTATTATTATTATTATTATTATTATTATTATTATTATTATTATTATTATTATTATTATTATTATTATTATTATTATTATTATTATTATTATTATTATTATTATTATTATTATTATTATTATTATTATTATTATTATTATTATTATTATTATTATTATTATTATTATTATTATTATTATTATTATTATTATTATTATTATTATTATTATTATTATTATTATTATTATTATTATTATTATTATTATTATTATTATTATTATTATTATTATTATTATTATTATTATTATTATTATTATTATTATTATTATTATTATTATTATTATTATTATTATTATTATTATTATTATTATTATTATTATTATTATTATTATTATTATTATTATTATTATTATTATTATTATTATTATTATTATTATTATTATTATTATTATTATTATTATTATTATTATTATTATTATTATTATTATTATTATTATTATTATTATTATTATTATTATTATTATTATTATTATTATTATTATTATTATTATTATTATTATTATTATTATTATTATTATTATTATTATTATTATTATTATTATTATTATTATTATTATTATTATTATTATTATTATTATTATTATTATTATTATTATTATTATTATTATTATTATTATTATTATTATTATTATTATTATTATTATTATTATTATTATTATTATTATTATTATTATTATTATTATTATTATTATTATTATTATTATTATTATTATTATTATTATTATTATTATTATTATTATTATTATTATTATTATTATTATTATTATTATTATTATTATTATTATTATTATTATTATTATTATTATTATTATTATTATTATTATTATTATTATTATTATTATTATTATTATTATTATTATTATTATTATTATTATTATTATTATTATTATTATTATTATTATTATTATTATTATTATTATTATTATTATTATTATTATTATTATTATTATTATTATTATTATTATTATTATTATTATTATTATTATTATTATTATTATTATTATTATTATTATTATTATTATTATTATTATTATTATTATTATTATTATTATTATTATTATTATTATTATTATTATTATTATTATTATTATTATTATTATTATTATTATTATTATTATTATTATTATTATTATTATTATTATTATTATTATTATTATTATTATTATTATTATTATTATTATTATTATTATTATTATTATTATTATTATTATTATTATTACAGAAGCAAAGTAGTGCAGAATAAACCCAAGCCTGAACAAAATGATGTAGGATTTTCTTTCACAAGGAAGGCAAAGGTTTTGTATCCAACTAGTTGTGTGTTCTTGAATGTGTTTCATATATCCAAGTAACCTTCACTGAGTAAAGAAAAAAACAGTAGAGTATTTCACAAGCGTATATTAATGGGTAAAAAACAGAACTGTCTCTGAAAAAAAGTTCTTTTCCATGCCTAAATCTATGATCATTTCCATGAATGATTATCAAGATCAACATTGTAGGTTGAGGCAGCCCCAGCAGGAGCTCCAGCAAGAGCTCCAGTCAGACCCAAAGGATCTTGGAGTAATGCAGTTGCTTCCTCTTCTCCAAGAGCACCTACCTTGGCAGCCTCCTTCTCTGCTTCAAGTGTAGACACCTCGTGTGAAGATGACTTCCCTGCTTTGGGAGCAAGGAATGGATTTTCAGGTGAGGATTATAGACTTCAGGGGTTTGGGAATGGATTAGGTCTTGTGAGTAGAATATATAATATATAGCATTTAATAAAAAAAAAAAAAAAGCCTTATTATTAAAATTGCATCATTAAACTGCTTTGGCAAGGCCCATCCCTGGTGACTATTGTGGGGACTGTGGCCTGATGCATCCTGTGTGCTTCAGTTGCTGGGTCTGATGCTGGCTTAACCATGATTTACAGCCATATTTTTAGTCTTTGTTGTCGGGAAAGATAGTGACAAATCCAACAACTTGAATATCAAATTTCTTATTAAATGTTTTGTTAATTTAAACCTACTTCAGTAACATAGGCATCGATATGTTCACGTAAATACACTCCTTTTAATGAGTGTGGTGCATTAAAGTGAACATTTTTGGGCATTTGGTATGAGAATACTTCTGGGAATGCATACACTCATATAGATGTACAAATATATTAAGAACAAATTAAATGTTTGTCATACATAGATATTGGGATCAGAGTTATTAATATATGGTAATTATTGTAATTTCTGAAATCTGTAATAATACATCAGCAAAACTATTGGGGAAGCCATCTGGTACGGACCTCCAAAATGGTGCAACATAAGTCTTTAAGAACAAAATATATGCTGTTTGTTGTATAGTATTATTAGAGCCTATAGTATTTTAAATAGAATTTTCATATAATTCTGATATACTCAATATGAACACAAGCATTATATAATTTTTGGAGGGCTTGCTTAGGGGTGTTCCTAGCTGCTCTAAATTAATAATCATTGGTTTCAATACTGTGTGTTGATCCCATGGGGCAAGCAACACCTGCAAAATTTTAATAATACAGAAAAGTGTGAGAAGTGGTTCTGGGGAAAGCCTTCCTTGGGGGGACATATTACAATATATTTGGAAATCTTAGGATTTGATTCCTGCATTTGGTCAGCTGTTTTTGGTGAATTTATGTAAGCATTCTTTTGATATTAGAGAACTTGAGGAACAGGTTCTATCAAGTTGTAAAGAACTATCTTTTCTTCTTTAGAAAACAGAATGGCCATATTTGATGGTGTATGGGTAATAAAGAAATTAATATAATGTTTAAAGTAATATATAATGATGTTTAAAGTATTATATAATGTTTAGAATATTTTTACATTTCTAAAAATGTGATATTAACCCAATCGGCACAGATGGCAAGAATACATGCCATGCCCATTGTAATATAAGTTTATTTATTGTAATAACACATAGTTAGCTCTACAAGTGCTTAGCCACCAAGGAATCAGTTATTAAGCCTACCTATCTCACCTGTTTACCCTTTTCCTTGACTTTTGGAATGGGTCTTTTGTATGACTCCTTGCTGGCAGAGCACATGTGGAGCCATCTGTATGTAACAAAATTCACAAAAAACTACAGGGGACACAAATCCATTATGGTTGGGTTAACATAATTGGTGCGGATGGCAAGAATACAATACCATGGCTACTGTAATAAAAGTTCTTTTATTATCTTAACACATAGGTGGCTCTACTAGTGCTTAATCACCAAGGAGTCAGTTATTAGTCTTACCTATCTCACGTGTTTACCCTTTTTCTTGATTTTTTTAAAAGATTAATTTGTATTATTTTAGTGTCTTTACTGAATTATTAAAATACTAGTAACATTAATCATAATATCAGTAAGAATAATAACAATGTCAGTATTAATAGTATTAGAAAGAAAGAAAAAATCTTGCAAATTTAAGGAATGGGAAAATCAGGCATGGTCACTAGGGCCTACTGATAGAATTCCATAGTCATTGAGTTAAAATCTTTCATGCAGAGGTATCCACTGTATCATGAGTAATCTTAAAACATGTCCAGATACAAAGGCATTATCAGTCGGTAAGCTTGAGAAGTGACATTAAGAGTGGGCAGACTGCTAGTAAGTAATATGTGAATGAATTGGTTAAGCCAGTAGTCTGCCGGCCTCTGGTGTCACTTGTAGATTATGCTTGCCGATCATCTGGACATGTCTTCAGAAACAGCTGTTATTTTCTCTGACCACCGTGGGTTATACCTTTACTATGGTTATTTTTAAACTTGACAAGATTTTGTACAAAAACAATAATTAATTTAATTTTCTTTCAGGCAATAGTTGGAATGCCCCATCTAATAAGAGAGGCCAGAAGAAGAAATGATATAAAGGGTATTTTAGCTGATAATTTTTAGTGGTGATAAGGTATGCATTTCCCTAAGTTCATCAAGAGGAAAATTATGTGATCTTTTTCCTCCATTTTTAGTTATGGAAGCTTTATTTTGTGTATTGGTGAAGATTCATTTTGTTGTATTGCCTTTTACTGTTGGTAAAAGCCGTTTCGTCTCCCAAGAAAAGAAAATCAATTTTTTTTTTCAATGCTATTTTCTTTCATTTTGATATTGCTTTAGTGCTGTTTAATTTAACTTGTTTTCAAATGTAAGTATTGTATAAGTTCTACTCCCAATATATTTTTTTTTGTTTTTTTAATGCACTTTTGCAAACATGCAGAAAGTTGAGTGGTGTTCAGTGCTTAGAAATTTAGACAATGGTTTGTTAAGATTAATTATGATTGACTTTAAATTAATAATCTTTTAGTAAGATAATCATGGGTTACAAGAATGAGTCTTGTTTTTAAAATGTATTGTTTAGCTCATTTATATTACTGAACTGTTACTTTCTGGCAAGAAAAAGTCTGATGCCATTATAAATGTGCCAACTATTTTTAATGTAAAAAATAAAGTTCCATTTCAATCCTTGTTTTACTCCTACACTATTTGGAAAGCTGTATAAACTTCCCACATCACTTGTTAATTTTTTTTTATATACAACCTTGTCTTTGTGTGACAAGGTTTCATGCCTCTGTAAGGTTAAACTGCATTACATTTCAAGAGAGAAGAAAAAACTTGTAGTTCTTTCATAGATTTCCGTTATATTTTTTCTTGTGCATTAAAAGCTTTATTTTCTGAAAAGGTTTGAATGTTAGAGTAAAAAATCTCGAGAGATTCTTGTTCTGTGAATGTCAAGGTGATAACAGTATATACAATTAACTTTCTTTTCAGTCTTGAAACAGTAAGAGTGGTTTGACTTGAAATATTTAAGATGTTTCTTTTGTAGTAATCCATATACAATAGTAGTTTTTATAATGCCAAGTTTAACCCATTGCTGCCAGGAATGGCATGTCCACTGAGCGAACTCTTGCACTTAAAGTCGGCTTGTTGCCATTAATCTCCAGAGTAGTTTTTATTTTCTTCACCCAACAGTGTTGGGTTAATTACATTTAAAATTAGATCATTCCACAAGTTTAGTCACCAAGGAGTCAGATTACTAAGCCTACTTACCTAACCTGTCTAACCTTTTCCTTGATTTAGAAATTGACAATACTAATAGCAATATAAAAAAAAACTAATTAGCCATAATTATATCAATTATAACAACAGCTTAGGTATTAAATAACTTGGGGAGGGGAAGAGAAATTCTCAAGGAGAGGAGAAATCAGGTGAGCTTTATTAATGGACTCTTGGGTGGCTTTGCACTAGGAACCATCTATGTATAAAAAATTCACAAAATACAGTTGTGAACTTTACGTATTCCAGCAGCATTAGATTAGTAGAATTGCCTTTATTTGAATAAATTTCACAAGACTTGATTATCTCTCAAAACTGTTCATCATTTGTTTATTTGTCAGATGGTGTAAACAAAGGTACTCTAAAAATACAAAAAAATATAGTAAACCAATTTATTATATATGGTACATCTCAAGGTGATCTTTATACACAGTTAACTGTACAAATTATTTAAAAGAACACTAACATTTGAAAGATATTATCCCCGACTCTTTCCACTTTCAAGTGTGAGTTACATTTGAATGACAAAAGAAGAAAAATAAAAAGCAACTAATTATTGTCTGGTCACAGTGCAGTAATACAGAAGGTTTATTATTGTCCTCTGTCACAGCAGCATTGCAATGGCAATATTTCAAACTGAAACTACCAAAGGAACACTTGTGGCTATGGTAACAAGTAGAAAGAAGAATTAAAATTTGGATCTCAAATGACTGATGACAACATTAACCAAATCTGCACAGTAAAATTCTAAATAGTAAACATTTTTATTTTAAAATTTTCACCATCCTGCAGCAGATTAGTCCAATGAAATCTCTCATGCCATCAATTTCTTTCCCCCCTTCAATCACTACCAAAGCCATAAGTATCGTGACCTCTCCCCCCCTTACCAACAGTGTATCATCCCTATTGGTAAATGAAAGAGGGGTTCTCGATTCGGTGGTGGTTTCATGGTGTCAAATTACTCAGAGTACTTGGGGACGGGAGCCCTGTAGGTCGAGTAGTCTCGGGTAGGCGACCAGAACTGAAAGAAGATGGGAAATAAAAGTACTGAAAATATGTTGTTACAAACTTGTTAGACCCTGTCCATATGACTGAACAGTGCTTGGCAGGCTTTACCAGGTTACCAAGCAAAGCCTGCTTTCTGTATACACAGGGTAATGATAAATGATAATTTATCCTCAAATATAGTAAGCGAATGTTATTTTACAATGATTACACTACTTGTGTAAAAACAAAAATGAGTAACCTTGAAACAAACATCACATCTGGTGATTCTGCTGACAAAATAATATCCATATAAAACTCTCCTTACTCTTTTTCATCTTATATTATATATGCTGTTAAAGTGCAGCAATTTAGCTACAAAATAGATATTGAACAAATATAGAACAGTGGTGAATACAAGGTGCAGTCAGCACAGGATGAGCAAATACCAAAAACCTAAAACAAAGATTTTATAAGACAAAAGCTCTTGGTATTCCTTACCTTGTACTGCTTGTTAGCCCACTCCTGCTGGGGTTCTGGGTTGCTGCTGCGGTTCCAACTCACATCAGGGTTCCTGAAGGCCAATCGCAGGGTGTAGAAGGTTGCACCAACCACTCCAGCTCCCAGACACACATACAGAGGAATCAACTGCAAAGTAAATTAGATGCTGTTGGGTAATTGTTATACAAGATAAGACAAAAACAACTGAGAGAGAGAGAGAGAGAGAGAGAGAGAGAGAGAGAGAGAGAGAGAGAGAGAGAGAGAGAGAGAGAGAGAGAGAGAGAGAGAGAGAGAGAGAAAATAATGGCTTTACATAAAAATTTCCCTTTTTCGAGGAGCAGTATGAGAGCAGTCATGAGAGGCAGCAATGTCAAAGCACAGATGCTGGTGACCTCTAGCGAGAAAGCAGGAAGTGGTCACCAGGTCATGAGAGGGTCCGCTCAAAATCAGAACTTACTTGACATGCCAACCCATCTCACATGTAAGCTTGGCTGACCTTCAGGTTAACTCTGCTGCTCAACCAATGTTTCCTAGCCAGAATAAAGGCATACATGTGAGTGACAGTGTTTGTGTGAGAGAGAGGGTGTGTGTGTATGTGCATGTGCGTGTGTACATATGCGAGTGTGTGATGCTCAAGTTGTTCGTTACACAGTTTGTCACTGCACGCGCGCGGGCGCACACTCCCGATGCAATCACGTTCGCACGCGCGCGGGCGCACACTCCCGATGCAATCACGCACGCACGCGCGCGGACGCACACTCCCGATGCAATCCACGCACTGCACGCACGCGCGGACGCACACTCCCGATGCAATCACGCTCGCACGCGTGCGGGCGCACACTCCCGATGCAATCACGCTCGCACGCGCGCGGACGCACACTCCCGATGCAATCACGCACGCACGCGCGCGGACGCACACTCCCGATGCAATCACGCTCGCACGCGCGCGGGCGCACACTCCCGATGCAATCACGCTCGCACGCGCGCGGGCGCACACTCCCGATGCAATCACGCTCGCACGCGCGCGGGCGCACACTCCCGATGCAATCACGCACGCACGCACGCGCGCGGGCGCACACTCCCGATGCAATCACGCACGCACGCACGCGCGGACGCACACTCCCGATGCAATCACGCACGCACGCACGCGCGGACGCACACTCCCGATGCAATCACGCACGCACGCGCGCGGACGCACACTCCCGATGCAATCACGCACGCACGCGCACGCACGCGCACGCACGCGCGCGGACGCACACTCCCGATGCAATCACGCACGCACGCGCGCGGACGCACACTCCCGATGCAATCACGCACGCACGCGCGCGGACGCACACTCCCGATGCAATCACGCACGCACACACGCGCGCGCACTCCCGATGCATGCATGAACGCACGCGCGTGCGCGCACACTCCCGATGCATGCATGAACGCATCGGGGGCATGCATGAACCCACGCGCACGCATCGATGCATGCATGAACCCACGCACGCGTGCACACTCCCCCGATGCAATCACGCACGCACGCGCACGCGCGCACACTCCCAATGCAATCGCGCACATTAAAACATCCTATTCGAAAACTAAGCAGTCGTACAAGAAAGAACATACTGCAAAACGTTGAGTCTTTCATGCTACGTAAGTATGGAAAAAATCACATGACCTATAACCCCTAATCACACCACGTGCACCCTCATTTGTGTACCCGAGATGTCAACCGATATGAAGTCTTCAGAGAGAGAAAACAAGCAAGCACATGTTGGCTGAGGTCTTGCTACGTGTCAACAGTCACGTAACTGAGGAAGAGTTCATCTCCTCTTGTGCGGCGGCGGCGGCGGCAGCGGAGGAGGTGGAGAATGCATAGTTGATTGGGGGGACATTAGCATGAAAAAATAGTAAATTACTATTCAATGCAACAGGATAGATTGAAAGAAAAGGAAAATTGAGAAAGAACGGAAAAGACGCATTGCGGAAGAATTTTTTTTTTTCCACTATGTACCAAGAAGTTTCAGGAAGTTTCACAACCTTAGTTCATGTCAATCAAATCTTGCATGACAAGGCAGCCCAAAAAATAGAATAGGAAAATTGCCTTCAGCTGCCTGCATCTCAAGGTTAGGTAGTGAGAGTGCAACTAAGGATGCCAGATATTCTCTTCTTGTCTCCTTTCTTCCAATGCCATCTTGTGTATTTACTGTTGCCCATATTTCTTCCTCATTAAATAAATTATTTCAGTGTAAGTGTGTGTAAGTTAGAATTTATTTCCATACATATTAAGAGAGAAAGAAAATCTTTCATCATTTTTACACTATGCAAGTTTGTTGCTGGATAGGAAGAGCAGACTACGAAGAGAAATTTCCCATGTCTACATATTTTGAAAATAAATAGGAATTATCTAAATCATTCCATCAGACCATAAAAAAGTGCAATATCATCATAACCAGAATTTCCCTGACAAGTACATTTCTTTAAAAAATACGTCAACCTTAACTGCAGTATATGATGAATGTACAAACTAAATCACACATGTAATTAACCCTTCAGCATATAATCTTGGTAACTTGGCCTATATGTAAAGAGAAATATTTAGAAAAACCTTCCTCTGATCTAAAGTTTTCACCCAAAGTGCAGCATGTCACCAGAAATCTGATACGGATTTCATGAACATGTTTTGCAAGTATGGTTGACCTGAAATGAAGACCCGAGGTTTCCTGCATAAAAACAGGCACAAAAAAAAAGTACTTTCTATTACCATTAAGGTAAGATCCAAGAAAGAATTGCAAACAAAAAGGCTCTGTCTTGTGAAATAAATGAATAAAGGTGGAAAATATGCTAAATCTTGACATGTTTCTGTCACTCCAAGTTTTTGTTTGCTGTCACTCACTCTGGCTTTCCATTTTGTCTTCCATTTTCTCCATGGAAAAC